TGTATTTTAAATATTTTTATATAATTTATGATGGAGGTTTTCATGATGTTATTAAGAAATTTAACTATTTATAATACGTTGAATTTTTTCTTATATATATTTTCATCTCTGTAAAAATCTCAATGTATTCCGATCCTCGCTATTTTTTTAATTTTTGAAACGATTCATAGTCCTGTCACAGTTACAGTGGCATACCCAGAGGAGTACAAAGGGACATAGGAACCTCCAAGAATTTCTCTGGAAATTGAAATATTTCAGGATCATTCTTTTATTATACTATTATAGATGCTCTAAGCTTTTAAGAAATGAATATTTTTTCTTCTTGTGCTTAAATTTTTCATTAAAAATTATTCCATCTAAACCAATTCCTGAGAAAAGAATAGAAAAGTGCCTCAGGGTCAGTGTTTAAAGACGAAGAGAGGGGAGTGATCCTTATAGAAGTTGTCCAGCTGCTATGTCTGGAACATTCATCGGTGCACAGGCCAAAATCAGAGAAACATTCTCATCAGCACTAAATATACATAGAGATTCTCATTATCCAATTTAGCTATTTCAGACGTATGCCAAATTAAAGATAATCGTAATTGCTGTGGAGTTGTTGAAAGATGTTATTCGTTCGTGAAAACTTCTGAAAGAAAAATTTTGCAAGATAGTATATTAGAACTGTGTCTTTCTTCAAGGAGAGAATCGCTGAAAAAAATATCTCCAATGCATTGAATATGATGATGGTGGAAACCTTCCAGCCTCTGATTCATGATCTTGAATTAATTGGAAATTTCCTCAGTAAAGACACATCTGCTAGTTCCTAGATTCTTTTAAATTTATTGAGAATTTGTTTGTTTCAATTTGTTATTTTATTTACGATAGAAAAAATATTTTTTCTTACGTTGTCCTTATATAGGATTCAGCAATCTAAGACAGTGCACCTTATTGCTGTAATTCAACTGAGCGCCGATATTGTAAAAAAAATAAATTGAAATGATTCGTTTGAATCAAAATGGTTTTGAATTCTATTTTCCTAAAATTGGAATCTGTTTTAAAAAAAATAACAGATGGTAATTATAGAATTGTTCTTTCTTGACTAACAAAATAAATAAATAAATTCTTCTAATATTGTATCAGTCATTCAAATCTTGTTTTGGATAACAGTTTTTGGTTAAACTACATCCAAAACGTTTACATCTTAAAGAAAGATTCACAAAACACTAAGTAGCTATGCATTCATTAATTATCATACTGGGAAATGACCTCAAAATAAGATTGAAAATAAGTTAGAAATACTGAAAGAAACATACTCTTCAGATTGTAATATTAGAATTTTAACTGCATTATATCAGCTGTGAAGAAAGAAATTACTGCAACAACAGACTAGATCATCTTCTTATAGAAGTTTTACAAGAAAGTAAAGTAACTGAATTATCTTCTATAAAAACTTTACAAGAAAGTAAAGTAGATATTTCCTCGAATATCCATAAACTTTTAAAATCGTCTATACCTGAACCTGTTAAAGTATGTTGTCCTGAAAGATCGCTTTCAACTATGAAATATTTATAAAACTACTTATGAAACAGAACATTTGAATGGACTCTTTTGGTTATACATGCATAAAAATATATCTGTAAGTGAAGAAGAAATCTTAAATATTTTGCAAAAATAAAAAAAAATCAGAATAAATATTACTTTGTAAAAATTAATAAGCATAGAATTTTTCATTCAATCATATTCACACCTTTTAACCAATTTTTAAACTGAGGCCACTTTTTCAATCATTAAATCATTTTTTATCAATTTTTCAACATTGTTGGATTCCACTGATTCTGGTACGTAGGAATGTTTGTTCTCCTGGTATCTTTATTATTTTTCTTAAATGATATTTATTTTTGTAATTTTTATAACTTGATAAAAATTATGTCAATCCTTGAATAGTTTTAAATAGGAGGAATAAGATTGATATAGAGTATTCTTTAACTTTCACCAAGAGGTAATTCTAAACTAAGGAAGTTGCATTTTTCATGGTAATGACGATATGCACCCCCAAAACTAATTTCTGGATACGCTATTGCACAACTGCATTTTCAAAACACCATTTTTGGTCAAATATCGAATTTCTTTCCCTGAAGCTCCAGCTTTTATCTTTACGAATCTGTTTGAATTTTGTCCCTATCTTAGTCAGAAGTCAAGTTACTTCTGTTGTAATAACACTAGATCATGAAATTCAGCAACCGGAAATGTATTTATGCAAACTGGAAATGAGCTGAAATGTTTATGCATATTTCATTCTCCCAATAATTAACATAAAAATAAAAAATTTTATATAAATAAACACACATAAATTAAAATAAGTATAATCGTCTTTGGCAACATTATTTTGTGTTACATGTTCTATGTTTGGTTTTCTTTTGACCAAGAATGCTAAAAGAGATTTTAGCTTGCTCCAAAACAATGAAATCTGGAATATATGATACTTTTACTCAGTTTAATGATGTATTTCTAGATTTTTTAAAAGTATTTTCAAAGTGAATATTGATAATCTTGGGGTTTTTTACTTTACGAAGGTAAATTCCTGAATCAATTGGTACCCAAACACAAAGAAACTTAGAAGAATTCTGCAAGCTCTTAGAAAGAAACAAATCTTGTGTTATAGAAGATAATGAAGATGAACTTTATAAATCTGGAAATTAGTAAAAAAAATAAATGTTTTCTATGTAAACAGAGTTGTTAAGTGTAACTTTTAACGTTTTCTCAAAATAGACATTTTTGTTCAATTTTCATTCGCGCAAAACAAAATATCGCAAAATTTTATGTTTTAATTAACCTTAAATTTTACATATACGTTTTTCAAACTTTCATACAGGGATTAGATTACACTTGATTTTGGAGTTTTTATTTCTCAATTGCTGTAAACTAAAAATTACGACTTTTAATGAAAATTTTAGTCTTTCAGCCTTCAAACTAACATAGTATACCAGATCATCAAAACATTTGTCTATTCCTCGAAGAAAGAAACTATCTACATTATTCAGTTTAAATAAAGTCAATATATTTTATTTTCAAGAATTGGAGGAAAGTTAAATTCTTGCTTATTTTTTCATATATAATAAATTGCGCTCTTGACAGAAAAAAATGTGATCAAACAAAATTTAGTGGAATATTTTTCTAATTTGAAAGCCTCTTAAAATTATAAAATAGACATTGCATGGCACAATTTAAGTAACTCAAAAATTGTTCTCCGAAAGTGTAACGTTGTCTTTAACAGTTGGAAGTATTTACAGCATTGAATAAGAATTACTAATATCAACATCATTTCCAATACTCAGACCACCATTTCAGCAACGCCTCTGCATACTAATGAAGAAGCTCCATAAGTTACGTCACAGTACTGATTTGCGTGCACCAACACAATATGAAATGAACGATTTGTATCGTCGGCAGCTCCGATACAGTAAGCATCGTTGATAAGAATCACGTGATGGGGGCATGCCCGATGCTTGCAGACAATTTGAAGTAATTTCGCTGACCTCTACCACCAAATGAATAGAAATGAATGACATCTGGAGAGGTTTTTAAACACACAAAATCTGCACCATCTGCATTTGGCCATTTGTAGCTACAGGTGAACAATTGGTTCCTTGAACATATGGCCTGTTATGCCCTTGAAAACAGATTAACAGCTATCGAAACATTCGGGTTAAACAACTTAAGCATGAATACATGCGTTATTGTTTGCCATTTTTTTTATTAGTAAGACGGTCAGAATTTTAATTTAATGGTGCGACATGGATTTGTGTGTGTGTGTGTGAATCGGACACTATTTTCCCAACATTGTTTTTACATGAATAAAAAGGTTTGAGATAGTAAAAAAAGATACATATATTTCAAATTTGACTCTCAAAGAACGAGTACTTGATATTTATATTAAAAAGAAATACTGTCATTTCACAATTCAATACCCATTTACCAAATATCAATATAAAGATATTTATGACATAAAAACTCAAAAAAATGATTCCGCAAAAGACAAAACATTTATGATAAGATTAAGATGAAGAAAATATATATTCCTAGGAACACTTTTCATTAAATTAGGCGAAATTAAAGACAAAAACAGGTATGTTATGGAGATACAGCAATTTGATGAAAAAAATTACCTATATGAAAAACTTATACAGTGCACAGGTTAAATTTCCCCCGTCCTATTGCTTCCCAGACCATGCTGAGACAAAAAGGAATCGTTAAAAATCTGTTACATGCATCAACCTTGAATCGAATCTGGGCCACTCACTCGAGAAACGAGCATTCGGACACTAAGCTACCGATACTTCGGCAAAGGATTGGGAATTCTTTTACTCGCATTTCTAAGACAATGCAGAGAGAAAAAATATTCATTAAAGTCATATATGCATCGACCGGGAATCGAACCCGGGCCACTCACTTGGGAAACGAGCATTCTGCCACTGAACTACCGATGCTTCGGCAAAGGCTAAGGAAATCTTTTCCTCACATTTCTTAGACAATGCAGAGAGAAAAAATATCCATTAAAGTCGTAAATGCATCGACCGGGAATCGAAAACGGGCCACTCACTTGGGAAACGAGCATTCTGCCACTGAACTACCGATGCTTCGGCAAAGGCTAAGGAAATCTTTTCCTCACATTTCTTAGACAATGCAGAGAGAAAAAATATCCATTAAAGTCATATATGCATCGACCGGGAATCGAACCCGGGCCACTCACTTGGGAAACGAGCATTCTGCCACTGAACTACCGATGCTTCGGCAAAGGCTTAGGAAATCTTTTCCTCACATTTTTAGACAATGCAGAGAGAAAAAATATCCATTAAAGTTATACATGCATCAACCGGGAATCGAACCCGGGCCACTCATTTGGGAAACGAGCATTCTGCCATTAAACTACCGATGCTTCGGCATAGGTTTGGAATTCTTTTCTTCTCATTTCTTAGACAGTACAAAGAGAAAAAAATATCCATTAAAGTTAGACCGCATGCATCGACTAGGAATCGAACCTAAGTCACTCACTTGGGAAATGAGCATTCTACTACTAAACCAACGACACAGTCGTGAGCTCTCCAGATTTTCTCTTCCTATCATTTTCTGGAAGGTGTCCAGAGATAATATTAACTTTTAAAGTTATTATTTGTAAAGTTAAAGTTATTATAAGCTTATTATCGAGGCATTTTAAAAGTTAAAAGAAAGTTCTGCGTAAAATCCAAAAAATCTTATCTATTCAGATTTATTTATGGAGTTGTACCAATTTTAAATGATGAGCTTTACATTTATAAAACGGCTATTTCTTTTTGTTATTGTGTTTTCAATTTTGAAGTAAAATTAGTTTCTATTTATTTATTTCTTATTTTGAGATATTTTTCCTTCTATTAAAATTTATTAAGCCACATGAATTCTTTAAAAACTTTTTACTGCATTTTTTTGGTTTTTTATCAATGTAAATATATTTTTTTTAATATTTTATAACAGGCACTTATAAGTCATTAATATTGCGATTTATGAAATGATTCTTAGGTGTTTTTTTTTATTCTGGGGTTGAAAACCGTAGGGGTGAGGGGGAGTTAAATCGTATTTGAGGAAATATCAAGTTATATACTGTTTCTTTACTTGTGACTCAGTCTTATGTTTTTAAAAGTAGTATTTAGCGTACTTAACTTTATTACTTTAATTTTTTTATTTTTAGTTTTTTGTCGAGAAATTATTTATTTTTAGCAGTTAATTTCCAATGGCTTTTCTCGCTATGAAAATGAGCTGATTTTTTGTAGCATTCGTTTTGATTTAAAAGTTACCTTTTCATCTGTTTCCGCAAAATGGAACAACAACATGTAAAAGCTAATGGAATAATTTAGAAATTAATGTATATGTCGCTTCTTTCTTGTAAAATAAACTCAATTAGTTTCAATTTCTCAAAACAAATTATTTTTTCTTAAAATTTTAGTTCTTCTGTCGATTTTTTTGGTTTTTTTACAAAATCCAATAAACACCCGAAGAACATCAAGGAAACATGTTATATAATTACGTTGATGTTACACAATGTATAACGTTTTTGTAAAAGTTTGTGTCTGTTTTTTTTTTCTCTTCTAAGATAAAGTTTTTAAAAGAAGTCCAAGAGTATGACGCTTTGACTTCCCAAAAAAGTTATTGCCATAATTTTTCTGTTCGATGCTAGCATCTTCACAGTCTTTGGAAAAGATTCATCAGAAGCAACCTATTGTTTCCATTTTTGCTCAGTTTCTGGTGTATAATGATGAATCCAGTTCTCATCAACGGTGAAAACTCGACCCAAAAGAACGACGACAATTCGATACGGCAGCTATCAAATTTTGCTTAAAAACTCTCCTTAAATCAGCATCAAATTTGTGATAACACAGTTTAACAAATGGTAGCATTCATTTGAAGCACTAATTTCCCTTATTAACTCCGTCTGTCTTCAAACTTAGATACTTTTTAAGCCACCCTCGTTTACTTTCCTCACCAAAAATTTTAATTGAAAATTAAAAAAAATAAATAAAATAACCCGCAAAAAGTTTGATTTTTAAATAATAATTTTTAGAATGAACATTAAAAAGTAAAAATGTATAGAAATATTTCCAATAAGTTTGTAGGTGCTGGCGAACAGCGAACAGAAAGGATCATGAAAAAAATTACATTATTTTTTTATGTTTAATTAATATTAATATTAATGATTAATTAAAGAAAAGAAAGCATAAAGGGACAGTAAAATTATCACCGAATTTGAAACAAATCATGAAAATGAAACTCATTCAGATAAAAAAAAATTATATCTTTTTAAACAATGCATAATTCTTCAATAATAATTGTACCATATATCTCTCTCTTTATCTATTCCATATCATTATAGAGATAGTATGATATTAATTGACGCAATAGCTCTCTTTCAATTGAGAACCTCACATTACATTTATCTCTTTACCAAATCATTTTTAACTGCATTGAATTTATGATTCATTAACAAATGGTAAGAAAATGGGAAGTGTATTAGGGTGAGAAAAAAAGGTTCATCCCTAAAAATAACAGCTCCTCCTTTGTTCGAAAAATTAGTCACACATAATAAGGTAATGTCTATTTCCGCCAAAGTAAACAGTGCGAAAGTTGATGAGTAAAAATGTATAATTTGCTTTTAAAAGAGGAAATAAACCAAAAGATATGGAATTAATGTCATGTATTCTGCTTCGACAATTGCAAGATGTTTTAACGTATTTGTTTGACATTTTTATGCAAAATATGTTGTCTGAATCTCTATAAATTTAGGATTTAATTGAGCCGTTTCCTTTTGAAAGAAGTCAGTCCATTTTATAATACATGGAGATATATAAGCTTTTGTATTTGAATGGTTTGAAGAAAAAAATATTGTTATATGTTTTTTAATATTAAATAGATTTAAGTTTATAATGTGATCATTTTTGAAGTATTAGTAGAGAGAAATTTATATTTTTGATTACTTCATATGGATTTACGCCATTTTCAAAGTCAACAAAATGGGATAATCATATTTTTATGAAATATTGAATATTGAATTAAACCAATTTTTATGAAATTTTTATTAAATATGTCAAAATCGAAATAAAAAGGCTTTATTTCAATATTTCTTTAAGTAATACCATTTAAATTATTTTATTTACAACTTTATACTAATATGTGCCATTTTTAATTTTTATTATGAGAAAGTTTTTGAAAATAGTCATGATGTTTTGAAGAACTATAAGGTAAAAGATTCATCATATAGTGAATACAGAGAAATTATGTAGTAAAATTTTTGAACTGAATATTATGTCCTTTAGGAAAATGGACTTACACAATTTTCAAAGTAATTATATTTGTTATTTCCTTAACTACATAAATTGATATTGACAAAAAGAAGAAAATTTTGAAGGATTTTTTTTTTTTTTTTTGGGGGGGGGCTGTAAAAAGATGAGACAGTTAGTGTTTCTACTCCGTAACAGAGGAGACCAGTTAATTCAAGTGACGATGGCGTTTGAACCCTCGATCTGTCAGTCCGGAGAACACAGGTCCGGTCATGTTTTTCCAGAGGCCGAAACAACTTAGTGAAAAGTATTTCTTTTCGGCTAGCTACTGAGGAGTTCAAAATTCGGGCATCATTTTTGAAGATAGATGCCGCATACTCCCTCGCTAGTATAATCGAGAAAATTCTAGGAGAGACATTCAAACAATATTTAAGAGAATGTGATTTTCCAACTATAATTGCAATGGAAATACATTTTCTCCCTGTTGTATTTAGTATTGTTTGAATAGTTTCAATAACCACGGTAGCCTAGTGGTCATGGTGGCGAACTCATCCATCGTGTCGTAAGTTCGAGTCCTGATGTCATTAAAGATCCACAAAGTGTCCATAAAGCGTGGCGGGGCTGATGCCCGTTAACTATGTTGAGATCTCAAATCTCAAATCGGCGTGGTGTGGAAGTCAGAAGAGGAAGATGCCAATTTAGGTGTTGTCTTCATCGCTTAACCAAGGCTCAAAATGACGAGGTCCGTCGCCAATAGTCTTGGAGTTGTTCTAAGTGCGACATTATTAAACAATCAATCAATTACATAGTTTCCATTTAACATCATCGTCTGTCTCTTATTTAAATAGCGAGTCTATTTGACACATGCTCCGTAGTAGGTATATCATTAGTCGAGAAATAGGAGTGGGTGTTTTAGTTACAAAACTCTTGATTTGACCTCTCGAGCTATCGGTCCAGAGAAAACTCGTCCGTTCTTGTTTTGTAGTGCCTTCAACAATTAAGCCTAAAAGTTTTACCACTCGGGTTAGTTATTAAGACATTATTGTGGAAGAAAGCCTCCACAAATTTAGTGGAAGCTCGTCTAATTCAAATTATTGGCGTGAAAATATTTGAACTATTCTACCCAATGACTTCCGGCTGAAACATTCCCAGTGTTACACTGTCATTTTTGGGATGGTGTAGTCAGAAATAAGAGAATACTCATCAAATGCTTATAAATCTTGTTTAAGAAACCCTTTTTCATTGAATATATTCTTTAAATTTGAATACATTTTTATTCCATTACGTTCTTTAGATTTCTTCCCACATTGGTATTCTGGTTAAATTCGCCCTTTTAAATTTTTTTTATTCTTCACAAAACAGTCTACTGCTTAAGATATTCTTTGTTTATTTTACGAACTTTATTACACCCTCATCGTCAAGATACTAGGCGCTTTTTAAAAAATATTTCGTGCTTCCTTTTTTCGTAATTTCAACAGTGGGGTACTCTTTATCTGAAAACGGTACATCTCAGCGTTCAGAAACTGTATTTGGTGACAACGGGGTAGATTTTGGAAGATGAAAAAAGAATAGTCTCATGAAAAATGGGACGTATCATCACAGTTATGTAAAATCTCATCGCATTAGACACATCTATAGTCATTGGAAAGTTCAAATGTGAAAGGGGAAATGGGCATAAAATTAGGCAGATGTGCCTCAAAAATTTTTTAAAGAAAAATTAATAGATCCCGACATTCTTTATCCTTCAAAATGATCATTAATATGTAGCATTTTTTTTCTATTTTGTTATTTTTATACGTAAATACTGATTTTTAATTTGACTATGAAAGTGATGTAAATATCTCTTCCGATACTTAATACCTTAACCCCCTATTTTGTCGTTTTGAGAGCTCGTTGGACGCTTGCATACTTGAAACACAAACCTCGTAAATTATGTCTCGTATAAGAATATCATTAAACAGAAGTTTTTCATATAAATGAAAGAATTGGTCTTTAATTATTATTATTATTATTTTGAATTTTGTTACTGAAAATTTGAACTTTAATTCTCTTCTCAGCCGAAGGGGTGTAGCCGGAAAGATGGTTTACAGGCAAGGAGATAATCTACCAGTCATTAATGATGAATAGGTAGGAGTGATCTTGGCGACAAATGTGTTTGTCAAGTCGCCAAACTCGGCGACAAAAATAGATGTTAAACTTAGATCAAGAGGTGTCTAGAATGATTATTGGGAGTACATTTTTGTGTGCAATTTGTATTCAGTTTATGTAAGTGCTTTGTGTGATA